TAAGGGGTTGGGTACATATGATCTCACCCTGGGTTATCTAACTACACAGGACACTGGTTATGGTCAGACGATACCGTGGTGGATTACACTAACTGGGCAACTGTGAATGATTATGAAGATGACGATCAAGAGCATTCTTGGAATCCTGACTGTGCATTAATCTCTTCCAAAACTAAAAAATGGAAAAAACAACATTGTGATTACTCTGCCTTATCATTTATCTGCAAAACCGCCAAAGGTACGTATTGTTGTCAGAGAAACACAGGATTATGTCTTATTAACTAATATGCTGGTTCCAAACACCTAATTCAAACCTGTCTTGTGAATTCAGTCCTGTTAGGTGTAAAACCAGTTTGTTTCAGTATTTTACGGTTTAAATCTTTCTGAAAATTAATTTTATATCCTATGCATTTTTAAATACAAGTATGTTGTGGAAGATGTCATTTTTCCTTTTACTTTAGACATTTATATTTCATAAAAATATTTTCTTCTCAAAAGACGGTAGGTCCACATATTGTGAGAATTTACCCTATATTTAGAAATGGATTTTGGGAAGGGAAAAAAATTTAAAAATTATATATATATAGAGAGAGAGCGAGAGAGAGATTTGTGACATGATCGATAAGATATGCTTAATATGAATGTTTAAAGAAAAGGGGAAATAAAACACCAACATTTAACATTTATCAATCTATTTATCTATAACATTTTATAGACAGACGTTACATTCTTTGTTTTAAAAAATACCTGATTTTCTTTTTTCGTGCAGTAATAAGTCCAACCACTAAGGCCCCACAAGAAGGTAATATTATGTCTTATCCTTAATGCCTTTAGTTTTTTTTTGTCAAGAAATATTCAAAAATATAATTTTATGTAAAGAAAACAGCAACCGCTGTACTTTCAAATGGACTTATACAGTTTGATTTAATGTGTATATCACAGTTTGACACTAAATAGTTTCTCTTATTATTTGTACCTCTTATTTCTTCACAGGTCCCGAGCCTCACAAGGTCAATACGGGTTTGGCTGTGTTCTTGAGTATTGCAGTGATCAGCATATTGGGAGCTCTAGCTTTCATGTACTACAGAAGTTCAAAAAGACAGTTATTGCCTACATTTGAAAATCCCATGTATAATAACAGAGATGCTGCTTATTCAGATAGTAAAGATAACAAAACATTGATTGGCAACATTGAGATCGCTGAATAGAACTGTGTTTTATAATGTCCCATTACTTCTATGTAAGAGACGGTCAGTCGATTATTATCATGAAATAAAAAACAATGACAGGGCTCATCAGGTTTATTTTGCGATAATGGCTGTACGTTATTCTGTTTACTACATGGCTACTCACCAAATAACTATTAATTTGGGTAGAAAATATTTTATGTTAGAAGAAATGCAGCTATGTTGAAACCAGTTGTCAATACACAGTTCAGCACTCATTATGCCAAAAATGTGCGCCAGCTTCAGAATGCTGCAAATGACCAGTCAGAATCAAATATTCCAAAGAGTCATCTGGAATCAGTGGGTTTAATATGGCATTGCCACTTTTTTTGGAAGGGTTTTTCAGACTGTCTTCGAGTTTTTAAAAAGTTTTTGAATAAGCCGAATAAGAATTGTAAACTGTAAGGTTGCTGTTTAGAACTCTAAATAAATAGTTACACTTTGATATAACTTTTTGAGCAAACCACCAATTACACGCCAACTGTGCAGTGCAGTTTAAGCATGGAAAAATGGTCATCTTTTGGAGTGCAGTGCCAAAAAACAGGATAAGATGACGTGTAAAGGTTAGCTGACATAGCAGCATTTGGAGTATTAGGACAGTGTTGGAACGCAATTTAGCTTTTCCATTTTTAGTTTCAGAAAATGTTATGCTCTCTTTGAATTCAGTGGCAATTTCAACCATTAGGAAATTGTAATTTTTCCTGAAACACATTCAAATATAGAAGTGTTAAATTCACTTTTTTTTCACTTATTTTATATTTATACTGAATCTGTGCTCAAAAAAGTCCTTCATAATATTGGTAACACTTTACAGTATGGTTCGTATTAGTCAACATTAATGCAGTAACTAACAGTAAGCAATACATTTCTTTCAGTATTTATTATTAATATTCATTCATTTTAGGTAATAAAAATACAATTGTTAATTGTTAGTTCATGTGAGCTCAGCCATTAAATAATATTAACTGATACAACTTTTACATTAATAAAATTAAAAGTTGAAATGAACATGCTTTAGAATAATTTTTCATTGTTAATGTTAACTAATGTTAACAAATTGAACCTTACTGTAAAGTGTTACTATAATACACAATGAGGTGAATGAACAACGAGAGCCACATCTGGGAAAACAATGCATGAAAACATCAAAAGGTCAATCTGACGTGTGCATTATTTGTTTAGGAGAACATTTAAAAGACAATATACAGTCAGACCAATTGATTACAGAAGGACATCTCTATTACAGTGCAGCAGTATCTGTACTCAGTTTTATCAATCCAGTATCTACAAAGGCATTTATGAGGTATATACAAATGCATAGAAACAATTTTCAAGCTATAGTGTTGTCACAAACTAATGCATAGAGTACTCATGAAACATCAAGTGTAAATAAACGTCGTGGTTCCAGATGCATTAAGAATATGAACAGATTTGAGTGCTTTTAATTTCAATGCCATCTTCCTCTTTTCATTTGAAACAAAACTGGAAACAAATCTTTTACCATGCTGTTGTAATAAAATAGGTATTTTCTGAATCATTGTACTTATTTCTCTCAGGACATTTCTGTGTGCCTTTTTACTTTATGAAGATGAAAGTAACGATTAAGGAAAAAAATGATCCCTTCGATATACATACTGTATATATTTTAAACAAACCTTTTAAAAATCATAATTACATGCAGCTGGTTGGCTACAAATGATCACATTGTATATATTATAAATATGGAACAGAATGAAACTGTTCATAAACATTAAAAATTGTTCATTTTAAATAATTTTGCAAGCAAACAACACATAGTATGGCAGTTGATTTTACATGACTATGTTATCAAGCTAAGCTCTTTGTATTGAATCAAATGATCCTTGTATGAAATTCACTGAATAAAATTTGAAATGATTTTTGTGACTACAAAACCAGGCCAAACTAAATACTGAACGATGTATACATTAAAGCTAACATGAAATTGATGTAAATAAAAATTCTGTTTTTCATCTCACTGAATATTCTGTCCCTCTGAAATGTGTCAAATTATAGAAAATAGGTTGCAAACATTAATTCACGCTGACTTAAAACCGAAGTTTGTAATTGCTCTTAGTAGTGTGGAATTATAAAACAATGACTTTTCAGACAGGTGTCTTAAACACTCCCCCCATCTGCCATTGGCCAGACAAATATATAGTCATGCCTCCAAACCTATGTCATTGGTTGAGCCACGGTTGCTGTCAGGCTGGTTGAGATGGTCAAACAAATCTTTTTGTGTGTGTGTGTGTGTGTTGTGCCACAGAGCTACAATGTTTATACTTTTCAGTTAAATCAACCAACACACTTCTTGTCCCTGTGTTTTAAACTAGCATAAGAGAAAATATTTTACATCCAAAATATGCACCTTATTTTTTAACATTTTCCTGTGAATGTGCGAGACTTTCGATTCATCAGGCAAGATAGGTAAGTAACTAAAACTAAAAAAGTGTAGCAAAATTATTTAAAACTAAAATTTCCTTGTGCTACAAATCAGTGCATTTATGATTATGATAATTAAAATAATATAACAAATACTAATTTGCAATATCAAGCAGCATAACAAATTGTTTTTGTACAGCTAAAATAACGGGAAGCAAATGACAACGGGAAGCCTTGCACATTTCAATTGCAAATAGAAGCAACATTCCTGTGTTAAAAATAAAGTGGACAAATTTTGTATTAAAAAGTGACTAGACTAGACTGTCATTGTTTGGATGTTTGTAAAAAAAGACCTTCCAATCCTTTAGGTGAAAAGCCCAAGACAACCACCAAAGGGTTCTTTAGTGTGCCTAAATTTCATGCAGTCAATAGCAGCACAGTGTGAATGCACAATTAAAGGTGACATTTCATGAAAATCTGACTTTTTCCGGTTTTAAGTGCATCACCGGTGCATCTACCAATCCAGGAAACGTGAAAAAGATTAACCCAGTAACTTTGTGTTGGTAAGCCTTTTTCTGCAAGCGTCTGAAAAAACGAGCACGTCAGATTTCTCTCCCTTTGTGATGTGACAAAGGGATCTTATTATAATATCACCGCCCCTTTATCTGCACGTTTCCACTCACGGGCCGCCATTCTTGTTTTTCGCAAGCGACAACGGTGTACCAGTTCTAGCACCATGGCAAAAGTTAGAGCAAAGCATGTTAACTGTTCTATCGTTAGCTGCACAGACGAGCACAGAACACTATTTAGAGTTCCAGCCTCAGAGGAGACAAGAGAGCAGTGGATTTATTTATTTACTCTATATTATGCTGCTGCCACACAGATCTAATATAAACATGCAATTTCTTTCCCAGCTGTTTACCTTCACAGACATAACAGACTGATTTTGTAACTCGTGTGTTTTAACATAAGCTTTTGTGTATTTGACCGTTAAAGCGCAATAAGACATGAAAGAGAACTTAGTTTAGTACTTACGTGCCGTGTGACAGACGCTTTCTGTGCACGTGCTTCGGATGTGTGTGCTCAGAAAACACTATAACAGAGATTTAAACTAATAAGGCTTTAAAACGCATGATTTCAGCGATCGACATGATAATCATAACCAAACTGATGTTTTTTATCAGAGTATCTGACCTACCAGCTGTAAAGGCACAGCCCTACTCTGGAAAAGGGGGCGGGGAGTAGCAGCTCACTTGCATTTAAAGACACATGCACGAAAACAGCGTGTTTCTGCTTCCTCTCAGAATAGGCATTTTCAAAATGATATAATAAATGATCCTGTGGGGTATTTTGAGCTGAAACTTCACAGACACATTCTGGGGACACCTGAGACTTATATTACATATTGTAGAAAGGGGCATAATATGTCTCCTTTAATATATCTGAAGTGGCTAGTCCCTTATTATATTCTTAATATTTTCATATCTAACACTAGTGTAGCAGCATGTTCCACAGAAGACCAATGAAAAAAAAAAAAGTTGTTATCTTTGTCAAGGGTTACAAATAAAGATGGGTAAGACTAAGTGCATAGCAGTACAAGACTTAACCAGTTTGCATATGTACATATCATGAAACAGGGACAGTAACAAGCAGAGATGTAACCACATACTCAGGATTGGAAGGACCAATGTGCTGAAATCATTTAAAAATGCAGTAGTCATGGCCCTGATAGCAAGACGAATATAAAGCCCGAGGAACACAGAATTATATGAATGAAAACTCAAAATCAAGGAAATTAGATGTCGACCAGAGAAAGCAATGACGCAGCAGAATGGATAAAGAAAGAGAAACCATGTTGTCCTGAGTACACGGTATCCAGCATTTCACATAGCGGCATTAAAACAATGTCCATCTCAGCGATGAATGTACATGTCTTCAGTCCACTCCTCTGTCTCTACACACCTGTCCCTCTCCCTGTCCCGCTCCCGTCCCTGGTAGTGATAGTGATTGTGGTGCGGTTGTTTGTGCGAGCGCAGCTGGCTCGACTGTCTCTGTTGCCTGTTGTGTTCATTGTGCTCCAGTTCGTAGTCCTGCTGCCCGAGATGGGAATAATCCGGTTGAACGTCCGTGGTCCCGCGGCGGTGGTGGTGATGTCGGTGGTGATGGTGGTGGTTATGGTCCTTTTGAGTGGTAGTCCTATTGTGGTAGACCTCGGTTTGGTCCGCGTCGCCCTCGACCAGGAGCGTGCGCCTGCTCCGGGACTCTGTATATGAAGTGTCTTTAGCAGGAAGCAGCTCCATGTCGGCGGGCTGCTGGTGGCGCACGTGGTGCTGGTGTTTGTTGTAGGGCTCTGTTGGTCGGCTGGTGCTGGAGCGGTGGTGGTGATGATGATGGTGGTGATGATGATGGCTGTGTCTCTTTGGCTCACTACGAAGGAGCCTCTCCTCCTCCTCGACCTCCTCCTGCACTTCCTCTTCTTCCTCCTCCTCCTCCTCCTCCTCCTCCTCTCTCGTCTCCTGAGCCTGGGACAGATGTTCCTGCTGGTGCTCTTGAGATCCTTTTCTCTTGGTTGCGGTCGATTTCTTGCTTTTCTGTTCATCCTGTATACGAGATATATGACATGAAAATTAGAGTTTTGTGGCTTCTTGTCCATGTCTGTTAGCTTTGGAGTCATTTGAAATAGAAACAAACCAAAAATAGTGTGCAGCATCTGGGCTCCAGAAGTAAAAATCCCATTCATTTTCTCCATGGGGGGAACTGTTCTATGATAACTTTTAAACCTTTAAAGGCAGACCTACTGTGAACTTTGAGTTTGTTCATTAATGGAATATGCTTTTCTTGAAGTCATCATAAGCCCTCATTATTTATTTTAATTTTTTTAAATAATCATGATTAACTGCAAAAATCCTGATGAAAAACCACATTACCCATGATTCTGCAGAGATATCTCCACCAATCAGAGAACGAAACAAGCAACCCACACTATAATTATTCAGATATCACCACTGACTAGTTGATTATTGAAATATGTAGTTTAGCAAATCCCTAAGTAAGAGCTCATGTAGAACCTAATAATAATTTTAAAAAAATACAAGAAAGCAATTGCTTGTTTAGCCTTGGGCTAAATTACAAAAGTGGCACTTCTGCCCTATTATAAAGTTTACTTACAACACCTAAAATAGGCTATTACTAATACTATGGATACTAGGAAGTACAAACTAGTAGGTGTTGGCACTATAGGCATTTTACCTGAGAGACCACCGTCTCACTCAGCAAAGGTCCTTAAAGCTCAAGTCTTCTTTAAATGTCCAAGAAAGTTTAGTAAGAGGTGGGGAGGAAATTGAAAATGTCACAGAATGACACAGCACTAAGCAAAATGTCTGACTTTATGGAGCCTGCAGATGTTTCAAAGCAGTCATAATTTAAGACTTTTACAAAAGTACGCATGAGTAAACAAAAACTAATTAGAATGTGGATTAAACTGAAGGTATAAGAGACAATGAGAAGATAATACTGAAAATGTAGTGTACTTGGTTACTAATAAAACAAAAGTGTCAGTGAAGCATACTTGAGATGAAATATGTTATGTGAATAATGTGAGATGTGGTGAAAATAACACTGTTTATGAACTTTTTATGATTTTATGAATATATGTATATCACCGATCAAAGATTTGAGGTCAGTAATACTTAAAAAAAATTAAATAAATAAAAAATAAAAAAAAATCACTACTTTTATTTTATTACATTTACAGTATATAAAGTGACATTAAATACATTAACAAAAGATTTCTATTTCAAATAAATTCTGTTCTTTTGATCTTTCATTTCTTTAAAGAATTTTGAGGGAAAAAATTTATCAAGAATTACGTCAGTGACTGACGAAGCATCGCTTCCTGGACTCCCCGATCTCCCAGGCCGGCCTATTCGGCGAAGCGGTGGAGGGCTTTGCCCAACAGTTCTCCGCCTTGCAGAAGCAGACGGAGGCGTTTCGACACATCTGCACGCCAACTGTCATTGGCTTGTTTAGTTAACACTCGAAGGTGATTGGGCTCTCGGGCGAGATCCCAATTCGTCAGTCACTGACGTAACGTCTCCGTTCCCTCCTTCAGGGAACGAGGGTTACACAAGTAACCTAGACGTTATGCATCCAACTAGAAAACACATGACTAAAGAGCATTTCTTTAGTCATGTGAGTTGTTGTTTTTTTCACTCCAAGAAATCCACAGGCCGTCTGCACATGTTCAGTCTTAGTAATTCATCTCCTGTTTTTCTCAGAGTGTGTCCAGTACCTTAGCAGGTGTGGGGCTGGTGGGGAGTGTGTTTTCTGCCAGTTTCTCCAGCATGGGGTTGGGAGGCTCCATTTCAGGAGGGTGTGTGGCTCTCCAGTAGGCGTCCAGGTAATCAGCGATGTGTTCACAGGCATCTGACAGCTGGTTCTCATCTAAGATGACATCGAACAGCTCCTGTGAGAGAGACCAATAGTGACGTCACAACAAAGGGTAAGTATAAGTGACAGTGAAATTAAGCACATAACACAGGATAATGCTGGGAGACTAATCTATGTCAACTACTGCCTTGGGTGTCTTGCAACATGATGCACCATAAAAATAACAGTCCAGCTAGGCTTGGATTAGAAATAAGGGTAGTGTTAAAGGGGTCATATGATGTTGCTAAAACTAACATTATTTGGTGTATTTGGTGTAATGAAATGTGTTTATGCGGTTTAAGGTAAAAAAAACACATTATTTTCCACATACTGTACATTGTTTCTCCGCTATGCCCCGCCTTTCTGAAACGCGTTGATTTTTACAAAGCTCATCGGTCTGAAAAGCAAGTTGTGCTGTGATTGGCCAGCTATCCAGTGCGTTATGATTGACCGAATACCTCAAGCGTGTGACGGAAATGTTACGCCCCTACCATACTGTGATGATGCCCTGTCAGGCCGGAGCGATGATTCAAAAATATAAAAACCCATTATAAACGAGGCATTCGTTGCATCCAGTGGGGACATAATTATGGATTATAATGACTTATACTTATGCGTTGCATCGCGCTGCGTAAACATAAAACCATGTCTGCATTTGTGATCGGAGAAATGACAAACAACAAGCCCTACTCTACACTGCCCAAAAAACTCGCTTTAAATATAAAAAATATAAAATATAAAAACTCTTTAAATATAAAAAACGTACTTACAGTCTTTGAGTCCAAACAGCCGGCATTGTAGTCTACTCTACCAAGATCAGGAAACGGTCCTCCATTAAATGTGCTGCACACATCTGAATATTTGGGTTGAAGTGTTCTGGAACAGTGTCGTAAATACAACTTAACCACTGATTTCTAGTCGTGTCCATTTTTGGAAGGCCAAACAAAGTAGTTTCGCTTTCACAACGAAACACAGCGTCACACACGGTGGCCTAGAGTGAGCGGCGGCGGCGGCCTAGAGTGAGCAGAGGCCAGGGGCTAGAGTGAGCAAAGGCGGCGAGCTTGAGAACGGTGCGGCCGGCGGATTCGACGAAGGAGCGTCCGGAGGGCTTGCGGCAACCACATGTGACGACCCCGGGCTGGACTCTGCTTCGTCCACGGTGAAAGCCGATCCGGTGATCCACAATGCAAAGTTGTTGTATTTCCTCAGCAACCAGCACGGAGAAGCTCCAGGAAGCGGATATCATCCTCTTTTGGAAGGCCAAACAAAGTAGTTTCGCTTTCCCAAACGAAACACACAGCGCCTTCACGACATAGTGGAGGCGGCAACAATACTACAGCGAGAATAAAAGTTACGCCTTCTTTCTTTGCGTGAACATTTGTGTGGCGTTATGCAAATCTTCCCACATAGTGACGTAGATATGTGGGGGCGTGTTAGAATGAGCCATTTTATGTAGGCGTGGCTGAATCTTAACTTTTATAAAGAATATCTCTTTGGATTTTAGACTTTAGTCTTTGCAACTTTACAGATCTTCTTTATGCACCAAGAGCTTGTAACACTCCAAAGAGAAAGGAAAAATTGAAATCACATCATATGACCCCTTTAAAAGGAGGCCAAGAGGTTCAAAATGTGGGTGTTCATATTGATTTTCTAAAGAAACAGACTTTGTTTTTTTTCTTAGTTTATCAGAGGTAATGTATCAAGTGCATAACAAGGTAAATTTTTTTTATCATGATTAATTGACCATTACGCCTTAAAACTTTATTAACCAATCCACATGAAAATAGAGCTTATCATGAAAATTCCCAATTCATTCCAATGGGACAGTCTGGAAAGTTATAGGAATAGTTCAACAGTTTGTTTCTTCATCAGAATAGATTTTGTGAAATTTAGCATTACATCGCCAGTGAATCGATACGTGACCTCTATCTATAATATCACTTTCTCGAGTGAAAAAATCCATCCCTTGTTTTCCTCTCACATCAAAATCCACTGACATATGTGTTTAGAACTGTTTTAGACTGTTTTTGCATGTAAACTCTGCTTGATCTGTGCATATTTATCTTCTTATTCAGGCAAGATGACTTTTTTGTGTACTGGAAAAAAAGCAATATTATAGATTATAGGGGGCCCATATTTTAGCCAGAAGCAGCGGTTTGAAGTTAAAAACGTCTTGATGTATTTATTTATTACAAATAGGCAGCTTTTCGCTTCATAAGATGTTAATTGAAGGACTGAAGTTGGGTGGCTTACTTGTGGATTTTTGTGATGCTTTTATCAGCTGTTTGGACTCTCATTCTGATGGCACCCATTCACTGCAGAGGATCCATTGGTGAGTGATATAGGCTAAGGCTAAATTTCTCCAAATCTGTTCCGATGAATGAACAAACTCATCTATATCGTGGATGGTCTGAGTAAATTTTCTGTACATTTTTGGGTGAACTATTTCTTTAAAAGAGGTGGATTTTTAGCAAAGGGTCATCTGCAATCATACAGAAAACATTTTAATATCTTTAGTATTTAGTATTTAAGTACATACAGAGGGCACACTTACATTAGGACACTGGGCCAGTTTGTCTGCGGCCACCATCTGAACATTCAAATGTTTAGTCTGAGATTTGCCCCGGGTCTTTATCAATCTTGTTAGAACCTGAACAGCAGATGAAAAGAGGAAGGAAAAAGGGACAGGAAGGATGTGTGGGAGGCATAGGTGGTGAAAGAACAGTGGATGTTAGGTCACGCTGGGTCACAAGAGAAAGGTTAGTGTTTTTGTGCAACCAGTCTTCTCTCAAACTAGCGTTTCCTATGTAAATGTAATGGCTGCACATTCAAAAGCTTCTCGGCAGTGAATGAAACTATGCTTTGTGTAGCCCAGTGACAGACAGATAGATCTTATTCATATGACAGATATGTATCATTTTGAAAGGTGTAGTGCACTTTAAAAGATATTTGTAGCTATCAGAAAAATGACAAGTTTATCAAACAAGTTGATATAGTACCACATCAGATATCGCTGTACTGAAAAAATAATCTTGTTTCTGCCTCCTAGTGGCAATTTTTATACCATCTATTAGCTTACACCATAAAACTAATGGAATACTTGAACATACCAGCAAATAATACTTTTAATTTTTGCAGAAAGTAGTTTATAAGATTATAAATGAAAAGCTATGGTAACAATACAACCATTCATACAAATTAAATGAACAACATGCATTATTAAAAACATCATTTAAATGAAAAAACAAAACACAGATCATACTAATTGATCAAAAGTCACAGTAAAGACATTTAAAATGCATCTTCTGAACATTGTATTCATCAAAAAAATCCATAAAAATGTATCAAGGTTTCCACAAAAACATTAAGTATCATAACTGTTTTCAACATTGATAATAATAATAAATGTTTCTTGAGCAGCAAATCAGCATATTAGAATAACTTCTGAAGGATCATGTGACTGACTGGAGTAATGGCTGCTGAAAATCCAGCTTTGCCATCACAGGAATATTCCTTTTTACAATTACCTTTTAAAATATATTAAAATAGAAAGCAATTTAAACCAAAATCCTTTTTTCATAATATTGTATTTTTAGTCAAATACACAGCTTCGTTGAGCTTAAGAATTTTTTATTTTTTTTAAACAATAAAAAATCTTACTAACCCCAAACTTTTGAACGGTTATGTTTAATGTTTGTTTCATCAGTAAACAAGTGACTATTGAAAGAATGTTTGCAAGTTGAACAGAGTTTCTGACCTTGGGTGATGAAATCTTGACATACACCAGGATCGGGGCCAAGGAGGTCTTGTTTAGTTGGAGAGGGTGGTTAATGGTGTCGGCATCCAGAACCACAAGCTGTAGACTGCGTGCTAACTCAAAAATCCTCTCAACCTCTCCTTGGATTTGGGCTGTAGGGGCAGATTAAGAAATAAATTAGACTAGTCAACCAAAAATCCTTACAAATGACATCTTCAAAAATATTATGCTGTCAAAGTACAAATCTGCTGAAGTGTAGCCAAAAGCACTTAAAATGTAATGGGCAGCTTTTTATGTCCAACTCCTCTAATATACATAGGAAGATTATCAAAAAAGATCCAGATGAAAAGCTTCTTGCACTTTCATGAAGTATATATAAAAGGTTGTATACAAGTGAAAGTCCCATCTTCAAAACTAAATGCATTCCATACACAGGTCATGCAATATGTCAAGGAAAATAGAGATGATCAAAATATGCTGACAGAACAGTTCCTTGTCCACAGGATGCAACAGAACAATGAAGGTTTAAAACTTCAGTGAGCAAAACTTTAATGGTAAAAACAGGACAAGTTCCAAATCATCTCACATGGTGTTTAACATTATCTTTCACAACACACTGTTAAAAAAAGAATTTTTAATTGGTTGTTTTATATTGTTTTCAAGTAAAAATATCAAAACATTCTTTTGTTCTTACTCCATTGGGAAAGTTTTCTTTTGTCAAGCATAAATCAGAGTTATCTTATATCTTACATAAATCCTATTATCTTACATAATTACATATCTTGTTTCAAGGATGTTTACATATTTTTTTCTGAAAAACAAGAGAAAATTACTGATTAAGCAGCACAAAACTCACTCTTACATGCACACTAAATACTTTGGCTTGCATTTGTTTGACCAATAAAATTACGCACAAATTATGAAGGTCAATGGAGATTCTGTGGTTATGGTGTCTAACACAAGCCGAAGCTTTTAGAAAGCAGTGACCTTCACTAAAAGTAGCAGGGGACTTTGACACTTATAGTGTCCTCTAAGAGGTAAAGCAGTTCTGATGACACCTACAGGAATGAGTTGGGGAACAGAGACAGGTTACTGCTGAAATACATACCTGCGGCATCTGAGGTAAGAGAGCAATGTGAGGGACAGAGTGGAGAAAACCAATCAGATCCCCTTAACAAAGCTAGCTACACACCTCAGATCCACACTTTGTGAGAAGACACACCCACTAATGTTGAACAGCCATTTAATAATTACAATGAAAAGATACAACTTTGAGTGTTGTGAGAAATACAATTTAAAAGCAGTGTGAGTTTCTCTGTAAGTGGGATCATTTTTTTTTTCTGAACACACTGCAAAAATAGTTTTATTAATCAGTATTTTTGTCTTGTTTTCAAACAATTATGAAGAAATCTATCAAACCAAATAAATTAACTTGTTTACTTATGTATGCAGTTTACCTTCTTAAATGAATGTATTAAATAAAATTGAGACAAAAGTACTGATTAAGAATTAATTTTTGCAGTGCATGATCAAGCTCTATTATCCCAATGTTAAATAGTTAATTATCAATTTGCTTTATTAATACATAAGTAATGTATATTTATATGTTTGTGTTCAATGACCAATACATTCTTTCTAGACTCTCTCTGATTCTGCATTAAATTGATTATTTAATATTTCAAGCCAATACATTTATAATATATTGTGTACTTTGTATGGAATGACATACAGACAGAAAAACATTAAAGCGGTCATATGATGTTGCTAAAAATAACATTATGTTGTGTATTTGGTGTAATGAAATGTGTTTATGTGGTTTAAGGTTAAAAACACATTATTTTCCACATACTGTACATTATTGTTTCTCCTCTATGCCCCACCTTTCTGAAACGAGTCGATTTTTACAAAGCTCATTGGTCTGAAAAGCAAGGTGTGCTGTGATTGGCCAGCTATCCAGTGCATTGTGATTGGCCGAATACCTCAAGCATGTGAAGGAAATGTTACGCCCCTTACCATACTGTGACGCTCCTGTCAGAAGTCAAAAGTCAAATGTCAGCAAAATGGAAGTCTAGCATAACACTCCCTATAATTTTTCAACACTAATCAATGGCAAAGTCCCTACCATAAAACAAAAATGGCATTTATAAAATAATTCCGTAAAATAATGTCTATAATGTTTTTAACCCAGTCATATGAAAAGCGTTATGATATTAAATCTTCTATATGACCTGCTGAAGGATTTGATATTTAATATTACATTTACAATTAAAAAGAAACAAAATAATCACATTCTCATGCTTTTTAGTTAGTGAATTTTTCAGAAAATCTGGTATACTTTTTTTTTTTTTAATTGCCATTAAAGGATTGCCTGAGCCTTAAAAAAGTTTGAGAACATTAGCTTACTCTATTTCACAATGTATAACCTGTTTCTAACTTTAAAAAAAAAACAATAATCCAGTTTTCCATATTCAAAAATACTGCCTAGTAACACAATAATAAATAAATCACTTTGTTCTATTAATTTATTGTATTATAATTTGGTATTTAACTAAAAGATAGTAAAATGTCAACACAATAGCAGTCTAGCTGCTTATAGCCTGGTTTTTAAAGGTGATGCTCTGTGGGAGATGGTGGACTGAAGCAGGACATGATGCTGTCTGCTCAGTACCTTAATTAAAAAGGACCTCAGGGAGCTCACTGACACAGTTAGGGGGGTTTCATTCAGTTTTTAAAAGCCGAGCAAAACTGGACTGTAAAGTGCCGATGATAAAACACCAAGTGTTTGTTGTTTGTTGCTCATTCATGGTTTGCCATGGTGCTTCTTATCTGTTTTTGGAGTGTGCAAAGGAACAGAAGAAAAGGTAATTGTAGCTATTGTTTGTCAGTTGCATGTAGAGCATTGCTTTTGTAGAGTACAAGATTTAACACTGATGTGCTGTTTCAACCAAGGCATTTGGTGATTAGCTTTTTGACACGGCTACCTTGTTACTTTGACAGAGGAAAAAGAGCCATGCAAAATTTATGAGTACATCTAAAGCTGTGATATATTTCGGTCCTTGTGGCCAACGTCACTGGTAGCAGGAATGGGCAGCTGAGAGAATTATGGAGTTGCAATCTACCTTGGCCTTCTCCAGCTGGACTTGGGCATTCTTCTCCTTCTCCTCAGTGGCCCCTGAGTCCTGACGGTCCGCCGAACCCTACCACAGTACAAGAGTAAGAACCAGCATTATTATAACATCCAGACTCATTCTCTTTCCCAAGACATTTCTGTCCATTCTGACTCATTCTGACTCACAGTAGCAACAAGCACTTGACTGTGCACATAGCGTTACATATAACGCTGAGATGCAAATGTTGAGATGATTAAGCTGAAACTATGCTGTCTTTGATTCAATTAAAATAAATAAATAAATAATAAAAAAATAAAACCAGATAATTTATCCTAACCAGGTACAAAGATCTTCTTATGATATGATAAAATCATTAAATGAGGTATATGCATTGATGTGTTGTTTTCAGTAGAGATCACTCCACTATGTAATGACAGTGTCATCAAAGTCACAAATGACCCCACGCATTCTCCTGCAGGGCTCCTTCATCAAATTTTATTACCAACTCCTCTCAAAGGACAGTGTTCAAAGTCATGCAGAGAATTTCTCAGTAATGTCAGGCAATAAGAACTTAAAGTAAAACTATTTAGCTCTGTCAAATTGAGCTTGTAAATTGATACGAGCATAACACTCCCTATCATTTTTCAACACTAATCTATGGCAAAGTGCTACTAGAAAAAAAAGTTTGCGTTTATAAAATTCCGTAACACAATGTCCATAATGTTTTCAACCCAGTGATGTGAAAAGCAGTTATGATATTAAATCTTCTATATGACCTGCTGAAGGATTTGATATTAGATATTCCATGGTATCTTACATGGCACCTTCACAATCTTTTGATGAGATATCAAAGCTGCAGAATGTAAGCTTTCGCATAGAAAAAAACTGAAAACAAATCTTCTAAGCCTTCCTCTGGCCACAGGGACTTTTTTTTTTGGACAAAAATGCCCCTGCACAATTAAACTAAATCTATTACATCTGTTGCGAATAAAGTGAAAATGAATTAAAAGTGTAGACTGCGGCATTAAATTAAGCTCAGGTTGCACCATATTTATTTTTGTGTGTTTTTCAGCATTGAGTATTATAACCAATCACACATAATGCAATGACCAATCAGAGGCGTTCAGATGAGTCATCGCTGAAATGCCGAAGCCCACCTAAAAAGTGTCTACCACCCCTGAATTACACTAACATTAGTCTACTTAGCCTTACCCTGAAGTTGGTTCACCCTCCACCTATGCTTAATATATCACCCAATTATGCTTCTCAAGTAAATGTATCTTATTAGATGGAAATATATATATTTTACTAGAAAACTGGAAAAAAATACCCCCCCAAAAAACTTTATTCCAGAAAATCAACTCTACTGGTATGTTTAGTGCGGGTTTTTTTTTTTTCAATACTCTAGCAGCCTAATTAACCTCACTTCATATGCATTTTAGTCATCAAATCACAATTTAGTTACTCTCATTTCAAATATTCCGTCCATTTCAAGTTTAAGATTCCAAATTTTCAATTTAAAGCAGTTTCACAATGTCACAGCAAAAGTCATGATGACTGAAATACACCCTCACACACATGCTCACATGCACACTAACAAGCTGACAGGAAAGGCACAGTGACAAGCCCCTCGAGAGACACTGGTGGTACGCAGTCTGACACCATCATATTGACCTTAATATAAGGCTGATAACCTTGCTATGAAGACAATCACTACTGGTCTTGTGCATATGTTAAGTTTTGGATACTGGAGTGCTGGTTACCCCACAATTTTTTGCTGGTAAGCAGCACTTCACCATCTAGACCTGCACCAAACCAGCAAGAACCTGCCTGAACATCATCAGGGAAAAAGGACCAAATTAGATTGCACATGAAATCATCACATCAAAGCAAAATTGTAATTAAAGTTGTAAATGGTATAAATGTTTCACAAAATCTGTCATGTGAGCTTGAATGTTATTATTAATAAATATTGTGCTCACAAGTGTTTAAAATAAACAGGCTTAACGCAGTACCCATTGGATAAACTGACTCAAGGCCATGCAGCAAACATAACATAGTACGTGTTGAAAGAAATGAGGCTAATTAGCAGAGAAGGTGGTGAAACGAGATTGAGAAAAGGAAAGAATAAAATTAGGAAATAGAGGAGGCCAGGATAATTGGAGGGTGGGGAGTGGAGGGGGCTTTTCCCATAGGCACAGTCATGTAGAGGTGCTCACTTTTGTTTACTCATGTCTGCCATAGACATCTGTTCACTCAGTGCTGCCTCTCCTGCAAGTCAATGTCACGGAGAGAGCAGTACAAAATGCTCCTGAATTAGTAACCAATGCCATGCTCACCAAAATGCTCTGGATCATTTATATTATCATTCTTAGGTGTATTGAAGAGTGAAGTCTCTCCCTTGTACTCATAGTACTTCAGTGTTCCTTCATATTCATAGGTACATTACCACTGGGATTGACTTACTAGTGCAAACCCATTTAACAAACCACAAAGTGAGTGACATCAGATTTGACCTACAGTGGTGTGAAAAAGTATTTCATGATATTCCTCTTTGGAGAACTAAATGGTTGCAAATAAATCAAAACAAGATGTAATATTGCACAAAGGGAACCTGAGTAAACACACTGCATTATTTTGATGTGTCATTGTAACGCATTATTTAATTTTGCTATTGGAGTGAAAAAATAATTACCTAAACCTGAATTATAAAAAAAGGTGATTGAGACCTTTTCTCTCCTAATTCAGAGTCTTTTCTTGCAGTTCTGAGTTTACAGCTCACAATTTAGACATTTTTCCTCAGAAGTCTTAGTTATCAGCTCACAACTCTCAGAAGAAAACTTGGAATTGAGATTTGTATTTGCAATTGTGAGAAAAACAAGTCTGACTTATGAGTTAAAAAGCAGCAATTATCTTTATTTTTAAAATTGTTAGATGTAAACTCAGAATTCAGTGAAAAAAGTCTCAATTGTGAGAAGTAAACTAGGAAGGAATTGCGAGAAAAAGGTATGAATTGTCCATATAAACTGAATATGAATTAAGCAATATCTTTGCACAAACTGCTCTGCAAAACTGAACTGTACTCAACAGGTCCTTCCACGTCATCTCTATTGGATTCAAGTCAGGACTTTCACTAGGCTGCTCCAAAATGTTCACTTTGATTCTTCTGAGCGGTTCAGATATGGACCTGATTCTGTTTTGGATCATTGTCCAGCTCCATCACCCAATTAGGCTTCAGCTCATGCACAGATGGTCGGACAATCTCTTTAAGAAGTGTCTGGAATGTCGCAAGTTGTCCAGGTCCTACAGTAGCAAAACATACATATATCATCGTCCCTCTGCTGCAGTAGGATATTGTTACAGTGGAATCATGTACTCACTTGACACCAGGAAGACCTGGATATTCAAAACATTCCATAATTAGTTTATCACAGGGCCAATATGGGTAATTCAAAAAAATTATAATCATGATTTAGAAACTTTGTTCTTTGTATTTTCTCAGGTGCCCAGTGTTTAATATCAAATTTTATTACTATGAGGGTAATTCAGATTGATGACATTACGAAATACAAGTGAGGGAAAATTATTTTATCAGTTGTTATCAATACAATAGAGAACTGTGTGTGTGTCTGCATTAAAAGCTGTAAGGAATTGAGGCAAGAACAGACGTTGCTATGGAAACCTCAAGAAAAGAAAATGTGCTGGCTATGCAGTAAATTTCTCATGAGGTGTATGACTTAAAATCTAGATTTCCCATTAAACTACAATATAGTGTATTAATACTTAAAATTGATTTTTAAAAAATGCTTTTAAAAGAAACAATAACTCAGTGTAATGTGTACTTTTTGAAATGATTAATAGACACAAGTAAGTCACAGTATTACACTAGTGGAAATTTTAGTCCAGTGCTATTATGGTTCGAGTCCTGGGCTTTACTCCAACATCCACCTACTGCAACCTGTGTGACTCCTGCTACCGCACCACAGAACATGTCATGAGATTTGGGTCAGATCCATTTAGTGAGTCAGCACCTTTTACTTCAACACTAAGTACAGCAGGAGCCGGAAATGTAGGGATTTTTTTTCCTTCTGGACAATGACATCAGACAGTAACACTACATGCTTAAAAATAAAGTTCAATACAAAATGTGAGACTTTATATATTAAGCAGACTGAAGGCTATGTTCAGTTTGGTCTCAGGTGAAGACAGAGAATACTAATTTTCTGAGATGCCAGGACATTTTCCTGAGCTCTGAGTGGACAAAACAGAGGACAGATTGTGGATAGTGGAGCAGCACACTTTATTTGCAACTGCCTCCTAATCTAATTAAGACTAAGATTAAGATTTCCTGACTGATGCTAAATGAGCTCTGGCAGGTCGCCCAGGTATTCAACCACTCTGTATTCAAGGCTATGCCAAATGTTACTGTATGAGCTCTGGCAGGTCGCCCAGGTATTCAACCACTCTGTATTCAAGGCTATGCCAAATGCTACTGTTTGTACACTATAAAGTAATGACTGTATATAATTTTTTTTTTTACAATTTATGCTTGTAATTTGTAAGTAAGGCTATCATCTTGAAGCAGATAGATAAACATGCAATATAGTACACTGAACAATTTTATATCAGTTTTATAATTCTGTAATACTATGTAGAAGTGGCACATCTCCACTTTATATCAGAATACAATAAATGCTCTGCCAGATTAACTATGTGGCTACTATGGTTAAATGATAAGGAGTGTTTATAACATTGATCAGTTTTTAGAGATGATTTTAGTGTTTCCCCATAAAAATACACTGCATAGCACCAACACCAACCTGTATTTTTATATCAACCAAACATTGTGCCAGTTGTCTGGCGTAAAAGTAACACTGCATTTCAGAAAAAGAACATCATACCAACAGTAAAATATGGTGGTGGTAGTGTGATGGTCTGGGGCTGTTTTGCTGCTTCAGGACCTGGAAGACTTGCTGTGATAAATGGAACCATGAATTCTGCTGTTTACCAAAAAATCCTGAAGGAGAATGTCCGGCCATCTGTTCGTGACCTCAAGCTGAAGCGAACTTGGGTTCTGCAGCAGGACAATGATCCAAAACACACCAGCAAGTCCACCTCTGAATGGCTGAAGAAAAACAAAATGAAGACTTTGGAGTGGCCTAGTCAAAGTCCTGACCTGAATCCTATTGAGATGCTGTGGCATGACCTTAAAAAAGGCGGTTCATGCTCGAAAACCCTCCAATGTGGCTGAATTACAACAATTCTGCATAGATGAGTGGACCAAAATTCCTCCACAGCACTGTAACAGACTCACTGCAAGTTATCGCAAACGCTTGATTGCAGTTGTTGCTGCTAAGGGTGGCCCAACCAGTTATTAGGTTTAGGGGGCAAACACTTTTTCACACAGGGCCATGTAGTTTTGGATTTTGTTTTCCCTTAATAATAAAAACCTTCATTTAAAAACTGCATGTTGTGTTTACTTGTGCTATCTTTTACTAATATTTTAATTTGTTTGATGATCTGAAACATTAAAGTGTGACAAACATGCAAAAAAAAAAGAAATCAGGAAGGGGGCCAACACTTTTTCACACCACTGTATATATATATATATATTTCTTATATAAAGAAAAGTCAGAATTCTGAGTTTAAAGGTTGCAATTGTCTTTATATTTATACTGAGGCAGAAAAAAAATGTGAGATGAAAACTAGGAATTGACAGAAAAAAGTATGAATTGTGTGATAAAAAGTTGCAACAGGTTTACAATAGGAAGGCCTGTATCTTCCAAAAAGTTCCATAATTAGTTTTTCACAGGGCCAATCTGGGTAATTCTAATTATTATAATGATTTAGAAACTTTGTTCTTTGTATTTTCTGAGATGCCCATTGTTTAATATAACATGTTATTACTATAAGGGTAATTCAGATTGATGACATTATGAAATACAAGTGAGGAAAAAAAGATTTTATCATTTGTTATCAATACAATAGAGAACTGTGCATGTGTGTCTGCATTAAAAGCTGTAAGGAATTGAGGCAAGAACAGACGTTGCTATGGAAACCTCAAGAAAAGAAAATGTGCTGGCTATGCAGTAAATTTCTCATGAGGTGTATGACTTAAAATCTAGATTTCCCATTAAACTACAATATAGTGTATTAATACTTAAAATTGATTTTTAAAAAATGCTTTTAAAAGAAACAATAACTCAGTGTAATGTGTACTTTTTGAAATGATTAATAGACACAAGTAAGTCACAGTATTACACTAGTGGAAATTTTAGTCCAGTGCTATTATGGTTCGAGTCCTGGGCTTTACTCCAACATCCACCTACTGCAACCTGTGTGACTCCTGCTACCGCACCACAGAACATGTCATGAGATTTGGGTCAGATCCATTTAGTGAGTCAGCACCTTTTACTTCAACACTAAGTACAGCAGGAGCCGGAAATGTAGGGATTTTTTTCCTTCTGGACAATGACATCAGACAGTAACACTACATGCTTAAAAATCAAGTTCAATACAAAATGTGAGACTTTATATATTAAGCAGACTGAAGGCTATGTTCAGTTTGGTCTCAGGTGAAGACAGAGAATACTAATTTTCTGAGATGCCAGGACATTTCCCTGAGCTCTGAGTGGACAAAACAGAGGACAGATTGTGGATTGTGGAGCAGCACACTTTATTTGCAACTGCCTCCTAATCTAATTAAGACTAAGATTAAGATTTCCTGACTGATGCTAAATGAGCTCTGGCAGGTCGCCCAGGTATTCAACCACTCTGTATTCAAGGCTATGCCAAATGCTACTGTTTGTACACTATAAAGTAATGACTGTATATAATTTTTTTTTTTACAATTTATGCTTGTAATTTGTAAGTAAGGCTATCATCTTGAAGCAGATAGATAAACATGCAATATAGTACACTGAACAATTTTATATCAGTTTTATAATTCTGTAATACTATGTAGAAGTGGCACATCTCCACTTTATATCAGAATACAATAAATGCTCTGCCAGATTAACTATGTGGCTACTATGGTTAAATGATAAGGAGTGTTTATAACATTGATCAGTTTTTAGAGATGATTTTAGTGTTTCCCCATAAAAATACACTGCATAGCACCAACACCAACCTGTATTTTTATATCAACCAAACATTGTGCCAGTTAAGGCAATGTATAGAAAAGGTACAGATCCGGCCCATTCTGTACTGAAACAAAACACACTATGAGACCTATGGGAGATATATTTCTTATATAAAGAAAAGTCAGAATTCTGAGTTTAAAGGTTGCAATTGTCTTTATATTTATACTGAGGCAGAAAAAAAATGTGAGATGAAAACTAGGAATTGACAGAAAAAAGTATGAATTGTGTGATAAAAAGTTGCAACAGGTTTACAATAGGAAGGCCTGTATCTTCCAAAAAGTTCCATAATTAGTTTTTCACAGGGCCAATCTGGGTAATTCTAATTATTATAATGATTTAGAAACTTTGTTCTTTGTATTTTCTGAGATGCCCATTGTTTAATATAACATGTTATTACTATAAGGGTAATTCAGATTGATGACATTATGAAATACAAGTGAGGAAAAAAAGATTTTATCATTTGTTATCAATACAATAGAGAACTGTGCATGTGTGTCTGCATTAAAAGCTGTAAGGAATTGAGGCAAGAACAGACGTTGCTATGGAAACCTCAAGAAAAGAAAATGTGCTGGCTATGCAGTAAATTTCTCATGAGGTGTATGACTTAAAATCTAGATTTCCCATTAAACTACAATATAGTGTATTAATACTTAAAATTGATTTTTAAAAAATGCTTTTAAAAGAAACAATAACTCAGTGTAATGTGTACTTTTTGAAATGATTAATAGACACAAGTAAGTCACAGTATTACACTAGTGGAAATTTTAGTCCAGTGCTATTATGGTTCGAGTCCTGGGCTTTACTCCAACATCCACCTACTGCAACCTGTGTGACTCCTGCTACCGCACCACAGAACATGTCATGAGATTTGGGTCAGATCCATTTAGTGAGTCAGCACCTTTTACTTCAACACTAAGTACAGCAGGAGCCGGAAATGTAGGGATTTTTTTTCCTTCTGGACAATGACATCAGACAGTAACACTACATGCTTAAAAATCAAGTTCAATACAAAATGTGAGACTTTATATATTAAGCAGACTGAAGGCTATGTTCAGTTTGGTCTCAGGTGAAGACAGAGAATACTAATTTTCTGAGATGCCAGGACATTTTCCTGAGCTCTGAGTGGACAAAACAGAGGACAGATTGTGGATAGTGGAGCAGCACACTTTATTTGCAACTGCCTCCTAATCTAATTAAGACTAAGATTAAGATTTCCTGACTGATGCTAAATGAGCTCTGGCAGGTCGCCCAGGTATTCAACCACTCTGTATTCAAGGCTATGCCAAATGTTACTGTTTGTACACTATAAAGTAATGACTGTATAGATTTTTTTTTTTTTTTACAACTTATGCTTGTAATTTGTAAGTAAGGCTATCATCTTGAAGCAGATAGATAAACATGCAATATAGTACACTGAACAATTTTATATCAGTTTTATAATTCTGTAATACTATGTAGAAGTGGCACATCTCCACTTTATATCAGAATACAATAAATGCTCTGCCAGATTAACTATGTGGCTACTATGGTTAAATGATAAGGAGTGTTTATAACATTGATCAGTTTTTAGAGATGATTTTAGTGTTTCCCCATAAAAATACACTGCATAGCACCAACACCAACCTGTATTTTTATATCAACCAAACATTGTGCCAGTTAAGGCAATGTATAGAAAAGGTACAGATCCGGCCCATTCTGTACTGAAACAAAACACACTATGAGACGTATGGGAGAGACACTCATGCACATTACGTCTCTCTTTCTCGCTGTTGCCTCCTGGTCATGATTGCTTCTCTGTAAAGAGATTAAGATGGCATGCGTCAATCCAGGATTTGGAGAGAAAGAGACAAATGCAAACTCGTCCTGTCCAATGGACAACACTGCAGATAGAGACTAGAATTTCACACGTCCTCAACGCCCCGCAGCTACAAAACAAGGACGTTGAAACTAAATGTTTTGTTTTTCCAGCAGACAAAAGTTACTGTTTTTCAATTTTTCTAATCGATTTTGTTTTCTAGTTAAAATATCTAAACATGCATAAAACAAGATGTCAAGCAAAATTAAATGAAACATTAGGAACTGGGTTCTGAAAAAAAAAACTTTATAAGTTTATTTTTCTCATGCCCCCTTGAGTTTTTTTGTTTGTTTTTTGCTAATTGTGGTATGGAAAATAATTGAATTTAACATGAACTTGCCAACTAGGGTATGAAAAATAAACTATATTTAACATGAACTCTGAAAACAATTATTTTTATTTTATACAATTTTAATTTAAAAATTGTATTTAATGATGTTTAGATATTTCTACTGGAAACCACAGTAAAAAAAAAAAAAAATACTCACACAAAATACAAACCCCACACCTGTTCTATATTTAGAGATCATTTGAGAAACAGCTGAGTTTTGTAATCCTGACAATTGGAAAAGGATTATGTTCATAACACTGCTCAGCACAATTCCATCACTTTCAGCATCGCATTGATTGTGCAACCTGTCACGTGGAGGTTAAATTTCAGGATAACTTTACTTTTGACATAGAAAACATCCAGCATAGGCAGAGCACTCTTTACCCCAGTACTGGTGCACACACATTGTATTGTCTATGGCATATAAAAGCAATGATGCATAGCAGCTCAAGCTCACATGGATTACAGCTGAAAGCAACAGATGGCACTCTCCTCGAATGGCACTCTCATGTCTACCTCATCATCACTCCCTCACACTCGCAAACACACAACACATTTTACCTTTTTCTTGGGTGGCATGCCCACTTGCTCGCTTTTCTTTTCGTTTCTCCACGATTAACAGTTTAAGTAGAGGTCAATTTTATGCTGGGGGGTATTTTAGTATGTGGATTTCTCTTCAAAGTTGCTTTGGAAGTAGAAGACTAAGTAAAAACTCTTCTAAAATACTTAAGTAAAACCATAAGATTCTTAAAATCCAGTACCTATATATGCAGTGAGTTGGGTAATACACTGACAACAGGTTAGAGGTTACATAAGGGTAGAGTTTGCTTTGAATTTCAGTACACTTTTAAATTACATATTTTGAGCTCAGAATACTTATATGGTGTGTGCTTGATTTCAAGTAAACCATTTATTGACATAGTTGCTGCATAGAAAATTTGCTATATAGAAAAATATAATTTGATTTTATACATACAGTATAAGGCCTTGTAAATTTACATTTCACACTCTCTCAACCAGTGTAATAATTCTTAATTCAGTCTCTTATTTCAGTATGTGACAGATGCTATAAAGTTGTCAAATGCAAAAAGAATGGGAATGAACTAACACAGACCTTGCAGGCAAAAAGTGAGAAAGTAGAAACATAAATACAAGATACCAAATACTGTGCTTTCAATTATTGTTCTTTTGGCATAGACAATATATTTGGATCATTCTGAATAGTTTTGGATACTATCTTTATATTTATTTGTCTTCTGTTTAGAAGCATATTTTTCAAATAGATTAGGCATTAAATACTTATAAATATCTCAATATAATAACCCATAAATAATGCCGTCTGTCAAAAGAATAGTCTTTGATTATAATTTGGTTAATAAAAATGAATGTTAAATGCTACTCAGTGGAAATTAGTAAATCATATTTCCTTTAATTTCTTTAGACTTAAATTTTTATGTACTAGTAAAAATACAAAAATCCCAATTATGTAATTTTCTGAGTAGCCAAGAGTATGAACAATATAATTAATATTTAAAAAAAATATATATATATATTTTTCACTTTTAAATGTCACCAACCCACATTAACACAAGCAGTCATGATCATTCCATGAGTACACCGATGCACTTACTAAATTACTAGGTGACAAATCAGCGTGAGACACTTTACGTCAGCCACATTTCCGTGGAGCATACGTTGACCATAAAAATGTCTGCTACATTGTCTAAGTATAGATTGCATTAGCATAGACATAATACATTCCACATCACGACACAGCTCTTCGTCTGTTTATATAATTATTTTATAGAACTGCACATTTAAAAATACATAAATATTACACACAAACATATATTCATGCTCATGAGAATGAACATGCACTAATATGCATGTGAAAGCACATGCAGTTGGATTTCGCTTCTCACACACACACAGTGAATCTATAAGCTTCTTATAGAGGGGTGTGTGCAGTGTAAAGCCATGCTCAGTAATACACTACTCAGAAGGACACAACGAGGCAGACACACACTGCTGGAGTTCCGGCCTCAGCACCTCTCTCCATTCAGCCACCCACACACACACACACACACACACACACATCCAGCTGGAAGACAAACATCTGTCTGACCTTACAATCACACCAGAAATGATCAGCCTTTCAGTGGGAGATTGCAAATTTAAATTCCAATGCTCTTTCTGAACTTTCTGAGGGATTCAATTTGGTTATTGCTAACTTTAAAGGGGTCATAGGATGCTACATGCACTTTTACAAGTTGTTTGAACTGAAATGTGTGTTGGCAGTTTGTGTACACAACCACCCTATAATGATAAAGATCCACCCAGTTTTTTTATTTTTATCTCGTTAAATCATTTCTCCTTTCTCAAATCGAGCCGATCTCAGATGCCAGTCTGTGTGACGTCCCTCCCACCATAGTTTGATTGACAGTAGCGTTTCAGCACAGACTGGACTGGTATCTTACCTTAGACCCACCTTGAGTGAGCTGTCATCAGTCCGCCATTGTTTCACCGCTGGAGCAGATGTAGACAAGAATGACTCCTAAGCGATTGAGGTGTTCTGTTGTTGGATGTAATAATGAACATAGCAGTCGTCATTTACTCCCGACATCTGAGCCGCTGAACTCGCAGTGGATTACATTGTTTCTGAAGGGAATGCGCCCCCCGATCTACATAAATGCGTCTATGTTCGCGTGAATCATGCATAATCCAGCTTCACCTACAGAAGAAGTATAATGTTTTGTAATAAATCTTTGCAAATCGCCTCTCCTAATAATGTGATAATTAGCAAGTTTCACGATGAATGCGGCTAAAGTAAACAGTCTCTCTGAGAGCAGCTGGAAGGGAGGGGCGGGGGCAGCAGAGCTCATTAACATTTAAAGGAAAATGCTACAAAAACAGCTTGATCTGAAAAGAGCTGTTTTTGACAGGGTAAAAAAGGTGTTTTTTACACTAGCATTGAGAAATTTTAACCAAACTATGTTACAGACTTTTCATTAAGACCCTAAAGAATCATATCAACTTGTGGAAAATGGGCATCCTATGACCCCTTTAATGAATTTCTGAATTCTTAACCAATATGAATATTTGCCTTTTTTGTACCTTAAATGTTGTATAGCTGATTGTCTGCTAACATTACTCCAGAAGAGCTGAATTTGTGTTTCTGGGAGAGTTTTTTTTTCTCAGTAATCCTTGTTCTTAACAGCATTCAGGTCACTCATTATGCCTGTTTGAAATGCGTCCGGGCATGAAAGCATCTTTCCCTGCACATCTGTTTGAATATGGCATTATAAACCAAACTTATATGGTCTTCAGGGACTATGGAGCAATTTTAGTCTAGCTGAGCTGCATTTTGTGCTGTTTCAAACCTCAAACCACTTTTGCAAGACCACTGTGCTAATAATGTCAAGCTAAATTATATCACACATAACGGCTAATGTTGTAGCATATGATATTCTGCCATCTTTATATGCTAATGATGACCTTTTTAAACAAGTCATATCATTCTAATCAAAATCTGGCCCTCACAAACTACAACTGTCAATAGAGAGCTTTGTGCAACCTAAAGTTCATCTAAAGCCAAACGTCCAAATGAAATCCATGTGCTTTGAATGACAAATCAGATAGACACACACATATAATGTACCTCAGGGTTTACAGTTTTAGACAGTACTCACCCAAGAGACGTTTTTACTCTTAAGAGTTCTGGGCATTTCTGCAAAGAGGACAAGGAGAATCGGCAAGTTCCATGTTCACCTCTGAGATCTGTGGCCCATTAACGCTGATGTCTGGTCCCACTGAAGTTAGGATTTGATATGATACACAGTGGCCATCAGTCACCACCTACATGATGATTACAGAACCTGGGATGACCAGAACATGACGAAAAACACAAAGTTTGGTCTTCTTGTCTCTATCATTTTCTTCCTTCTCAGCCCCTCTGACTGGCAATGCATTAAAATACTGCATGAATATGCAACGTAACATCTGGATGATGCTCCGCCCCATAATGCTGGAGGCAGAAACTCAAGAGCGGCCAATCCTGCCCACCCAACAGCTGGGAAAGGAGATTTAAAAGGGTATATATAAAGAATAAGGTGGAGCACAGGGCATGTCCTGCCCAGTGTTGTTAGACAGATTGTATGTCTCTCTAAAACAGGATGAGCAATACTCATAATCTCCCAGCACTGTTCAAACACTCTCTGTTCTGCCTCTGGAATAGGTCAAAGCACTGAATACTGCAAAACAGCATACTTTCCATTAGGGCTGGACCAGAATATTCGATTATTCGAATATTCGTTCGGTGGGTTGGCATTCGATTTTGAGATTCAAATATTCTTTTTTTTCCCCCCCCGAACACCTGGCATCCCCTGTGAAACGGTTCTCATTCATGCTTGAATATGAATCACCCATTAGTGAACATCATGAACATCATGATTCAGTTCATCTGGAAGAGAAGACAAAAATGCAGAAGACCTCAGCTGTGTGGGAGCACTTTAAATTGAGTGAGGACAAGACAAAGGCAGTGTGCCAAATATGCGATTTGAAACTGGCCTACCACAACAGCACATCAAGTTTGAAAAATCTGTAAAAGTTCTGCAAGTAGTACGCCTATAGTATATTGTTGGTTTAAAAAACGAGTTGCTTTTATCCGCCATGTTAATCAGTAATTTTACACATGATAAAAACGTGCACTTAATTTGCTTGGCAAATACTTGAGAATAGGCAGTCATAAAAAAAATCTACAGTAGCCCAGCCACCGTCATTTTGATTTTTTATAGTAATAAAAATAAAACAGAACAACAGACACTACAATTAAAAACGGAACGCGGATGCTCAATGCAGCGTGCCGAATGACAGTCGCATCACAGATCAGATTTAATTTATCCAGTGAAGAGAGTGAGTCGAGCTGACTGACAAGAAGAGTGGGATGAGACAGATGGTGGCGGATGATTTAGTTTCGAAACGAAATGCAAAAGCGCTGATTTTGGAAGTTTTTTTTAAACATTCTTTTCTTATTTAATTGGTTCCACAGTGTTTGCTGATATTTACTTTATTTAAACTTTGTGTAATTTATTTATTTTATTTGACATCAAGGTGTATGCCGTGCCTCCAAGCTTTCTTATTCGTTTTGCTAATAAACGTTCAATGTTTCTTATTTATTTGGGTATATATTATAGGCTACATGTTTACTTATTTCCAGTTTTGTATACTTATTTAAACTTTATGTAAGTTATTTGTTATTTTATATTAGGCATAGCCTGCCCTAGCATGGTGTTTTTATTTGTTTTGTTAATAAAAGTTCTATGTTTTATATATAGGTTAAAGTGAGTTTGACGTTGTATTTTGTTGTTGCATTCAAGCAATTGAAGGCGAATTGCCGCTAATTCGAAAGTGAAAGTAAAATGCGCACAGGGCTTTTAAGATATTTAAGAGCGAAGGAAAGCGAGGAAAAGCGGGAAAATTCAAACGAACTAAAAACGAACAATTGCTTTACACCGAATTGCCACTATTTGAAAGTTGTGTTATCAACCAACTTTAACTGTGTGGATGATAGGTAAACCACCACAAAAGAACATTTTGTAAATCAATCAATCAATCAATCAAATGAGGAAGCTAAAAAGGTT